ACAGCTGAATATAACATAATTTATCTATTTTTTTTTGTCATGCAGTGATGCTGATTGGCAAAATATGCAAATGTACTTCCAGCGTGACCTTTTCCCCCCCCTGCTGAAGCACTAAAGGGAATATCTGATTTTGGATTTCTTGTGATCACCGGTTTGAAATTTCCTCTTAAGTGACATTTGGATCAAGGTCTGCATAGCAATGGTCAAATTTAAATAGAATGAATTAAAATAAGCATTAGTGGCGCTAACAGCTTTCCTAGCACACTCGACAGGCCGCCTCTTTATTCTTCCTTCAAAAAAACCTCGTGGTCTGTCCTCCTCCTCCTCCTCACATGCATTTCTCATGAGAACACTTTGCTGCTGCCCGTCTCTGCCCTTAAAGCCGGGTGAAATTCCTCATCGGTTAATAGTTACATTTCAGATTTTAATTATTGCTGAGAAAACGAGCTCAACTCATTTGAAAAACATGCACGATTGCATCATTGGTACCAGTTGCAAAGCTCAAGACGTGCAGGCAAACAATATGGATTGTTCTGAATCAGTGAAAACATGGTGGAAAGCAGTGACAGCACTCTGGAGATTTTTCAGCCTTCAAAGAGGGACGAGTCTGAAGTGTGGTTGTAGCTCTCTCGGTACGAGGCTGCTAAGTGAAGCCAGTCACCCTGTCTGCAGTGCAGGAAGAAAGAAAATTACTAAGAAAGAAGGCAAGCAGTACTTTACATTGAATGGAAAGTAATTGACTTTAGGTCAATGGAAGGCTTTCAGACTTCAGAATGGAGTGAGATGTCACAGTTTGTCTGTCAGGCTTGCTAATATTTTAACGATTATGTAAACTGAAGCGTTCTGTGTTATCTTCTCTTTAAAAAAACACAACATGCTGTCCTGCTGCTGTATGCATCATTTATCAGCACAATCCAGTCACCCATCGCTCCCATAAACTCATCACATCCCCCTGTGAACATATTTTCTTTGCATGTCATTACATGAAATCTAAAGGAAAGTGTCTGAAGAATTGTATTTCAATTGTTGGGCTCATAGCCATTGTCCTTAATGTATTTTGAAGCCCTATTTGTATTTCCTATGCACACTATGACCGGATAAACTCAAATGCATGCATGGTCTATGTGTAATCTTGACATAAAGTTTTCTACTTGTCTGTCCCAGAACCCTCACAGCTGCATGATCTGCGGGAGGGTCAGAAAGGGGAAGTGAAGAGACGAGTGGGAGGGTGGGTCATAAAGACATTCGGTGGGAAGCTATACATTCGGGTTATGCATACACCCCGCAAGCATTTGCTGTTTTCAAGTCTCTAGTTAGTAATCCCGTGTTTACTCAGATTTTTGCTTCACGGTTGATCATTAATGTGTAACAATGATTGCTGAAGGCCGAACCTCCTCAGCCTGGATGTGTGACGGACCCCGAAGAACGTTACAGTTCTCTACCAGATGGGGATTCAACACTCAGCTTAAGGAGGTGAAGAAGGTCACATAGTTCCCAGGGACAGGCAGAGACAGTCTAGGCTTCAGAGTCAAAGTAAGAGTGGAAAGAAAAGGGCACAGGTCTACCACAATTTTTCCTGATTCTCTCATTTTACCCCTTATTTGCGTTTTCAGGCTGGATAGGAGTGAGTAGAGGGAGACCATTAGTCCCATTTATTTTCCATATTAGCTATGATGTCAGCTAATATTTGTCAAGTCTGATATTGTCAGGGGCTGTCAGCATCAACGAGGGAGCTGCTACTGGAAGGGAACAGGAAGAGGGAATGAAGCCAATTCCCGACCTGATCCCAGTCATAAGGAATCAGCAGAGTGAAAGAATTTCAAAGGTGTATCAGGTGGGAGGGAAGCAAAGGAGCTGACATGAATGCAAATATCTTTTTACATTGCTCCTGGAAAAATAGAGCTGTTAAAAAAAACAATGATACAAACAAAAAAAAAAGTGAAAAGATCACTAAGAGCACCTCTTGTGAGCTCGAGAGGCGTGTTCACGTAAATACAAAGTGTCATCTCCATAAGTGCTATCTAGTTCAACCTGTCCGCCTCCTTACCGGCTGGGTAAGAGGGCACAGATAGGCCTGTCTAATTCCTGCGACGCACATTATTCATAAATCCTTCACTCCGGGGCAGATATACACACAACTGGCGATGCAAAGCGCATCAGAAGGAGAAGGCTTTCTGGAAGTGCGATGATTTCCTCGTCCACCCCCGCCAGTTATACACGGGGTCCACGCTGTCAGCAACGATGACACTGATTAATGAGAAAGCCATCGCTTCACTATAACATCTGGGTGATACACTACACAGAGACTCAATGGAGGGAGACTCTGCAGGGTAAAGTGTGTGCCCTGGCCTTTTATCATTGTGGAGGATGAATAATTCTTGATTAATGCAGTTTTGGAGTATTGTACAGCGTACAGCTTCCTACAGTGATACAGAGAAACTGTTACCGGTCTCTTTTGGTTTAGTGACACTTAAAAACAGCAACGTTTATGTGTGACCACTTTATCGGGGATTTGATGCATCACAAACAGCTCAACGAGAGTCATTTTGCCTTAAAGTTTTGTGGTTTTTATCACATTTTGGGGGCCAGAATGACATCAAATTGTACAACAAAGCAACAATAACAGAGCTAAACTAATATCTACATGTGCTTTACAATGAATTGTTTCATTATTATTCATTATTTCAGGAAACGTATACTGACTTTCGAGTCCCATTTATGATATTACAACACTTTTTATGTAGTTGTAATAACGTGCAGCTAGTTTAGGCTGTCATCTTTTTCATAGCTATGTTTATATAGCAAAAAACAGAGATTCACTGCACTGATTGAGAAATATATTTAAAATCTAACATATCTGGTGCTGATTGGAATGTATGAGACATATTTAGTTTTGTGGCTATTAATTAACCAGAGGTGGTTTTACTAAACCTGGAAGTGATGAGCAAAGGGTGGATCTTGACTGACAAGCCTTTAGCTAATAAGCATATCCTGGATAACCCATTTTCTGGCTGCGATTTAGAAAATGGACTGAATGTTCAATTCAACCTGAGCCAAAACTAGTGAGCGACGCCAAACACTGACCAGGAAGCGTTTGCTAAGCTCACAGAGTGAGAAGAAGGTCGTTTTCCCAAAGACTTCCATACAAAAAGGAGTCGCCTCCTGCTGTCTGTCTATTAAAAAGAATGAATTTTTAAACCACTTCCATGTTGGCTCCACTTTTATGTAACTTTCATTTAAAAACAGCAAACATTTGGTCATTTTTGGATGTTTAGACAACCAGGCAGTAACCGCTTTGGCCTTTTTTGAGAATCAAATTGGTCCTTAAAAATGATAACATGATATTATCCTTCTGTGTGCTGTCAGCGAACATGACTGATATCAGCCACTACCGATATTTCTCCCTAGTCTATTATGTATGCATATATATTAGTATAAATATACATTCATATTACTGTATTTAATCTTCACTGAACAGACACATTTTCCTTTGCTTCACAGGCAATTTTCAACATGACTTACACAGAATTTGCAAGCTAATGCATAAAGGTCTCTTATCCATGACATTTATTATTTACATGTTTCTTTAGTATAGCAACAATATTAATTATGCATTTTATGGAAGACACTTAATCTCCACGTGCATTGTTGTATTTATTGTAATGCTGTTTTATGACATTTGTAGATTAGTGTCCTCAAAGTGAAGCATTATGAGGTTTTTTCATGACTCCCCCAACAACACACACACACACACACACACACACACACACACACACACACACACACACACACACACACACACACACACACACACACACTTCACTTCGTTACTTTTGTTCTATGCTTTTACACCATGAGTCACCAGAAGTTAAGTGCAGCAGCAATCGAACATACACTGACTGCACACTGAAAAAAAGACCTTCATGAGGAAATGAAAAGAAGAGCCACAGCACAGCCTGCATGCACGTTTTCTCTCCTGAGGACGGAGAGAGGGGGGAAAAAAAGAAAGAACACGAGCCTTCAACAAATAGGCGCCGTGAGCTGAGGGGACATAAGTGGGACATGCGCTGCATGTGGAAAAAAACACATCATGCCGGGATGAAACCCTCCCTTTGTCCCTGCTCGACAAATTCCGGAGTTTAACTGAATTACAACAAATCCAATTGAACCACGGGACACAAGTCATCCGTGCATTCCCGAATGTGCTGAAAAAGCCGCGATGCTGCTGCTCTTCCAGTCGCTCGGATTGTTTCCCCCCTCATCCAAGAGTCCAAAGTGAGGAGAAAAACACGGGATGAGAGCGCAAAAACAAAAACAAAAACCCGCCTGTGGTGGAGTTGATCGAGTCTCGTGTGACTGAGAACACTTGTGTTTCCCACCCTGCGGTTTTATTTATTTTATTTTATTACAACCACAGATCCACTCCGTCGGTCGTTATGGGTCTCGGCATCGTGCGCTCCCGAAGCCCGCCGCACGGTCCCGACCCCGCCGCTTCCAGCCCGGCGAGAGCCGGGGAAAGAAATGAGGGTGGGCGGCTGCCGCAAATCAAAGCAACTTCCCCTCCTCTGCTCCACGGAGCGAGATGGAAAAGCCGATGCTCTAAATGTTCCCAGAGTCGACCTGACGGGATACAACAATTTGACGACACACGCCGGATAATACAGCTTAGTAAAGACGGGGTTTATTCACGGCGGTGGCATTAATTTCCCATAATGGCGTTCATTCATCACCATCCTGTCTATAGCTGATAACAGCCGCGGGCGCTCCTGCGATCCCCGCACAATTTATCGACGGATATTAATAACAACAAGCCATAACTAACACAATAACACACAGATACAGTCACACGGGCTCCAGCCTTCATTCTGACCCCGATTCTGGTCACATATCAAGTAGCAGAGCAACATTTCCACATCGGACAGCTGCTTTTCAGGACAGCATACACAGACACACGCACCCACACGCCACTGGCGGACGAGAAGAAGAGCCGAATAACTCACATTCTGTCCCCGGGAACGAGCAGGCGGCTCTCCACCATCATATCGGGCAGAAAATCCAGATTGTAGGATGAAGTCATGTTGCCTTCCTGCCCTGTGTATGAGTGTGTGCGTACAGTACCGTCCGTGTGTGTGTGAGAGAGAGTGTGAGAGAGTGTGTGTGCGCCTCCGCCGCTGTGCGCCCTGCCTGATAAATAAAGGAGCGTCGCTCTCGTCCAAACTGCGCCTGGTCGCGGAGACGGAGAGGGACAGGTGCAAGAGCCGAGGCCTCCCCAAAGGCAGTGTAGCCAGCCGCACACACTCTGTCCGCATCCAGCAGTTGTCACATTCTCCTCTTCCTGCCCCCCATTCGCTTTTTTCCCTCTCTCTCTCTCTCTCTCTCTCTCTCTCTCTCTCTCTCTGTCTCTACCTCCCGCTTTTCTTCCGCCGGTCCTGTCTGAAAAACCGTTCCGCAACAGCGCAACTGACGGACTGTTGGAGAGCCAGGTGTCGAGCCGTGGAGGCGTGGCGCATAGCGTTGCAGCTGATCTTTAACTATTAGGTCTCCTCGGCTACCAGAGCGCGCCGTTCACCACAGACGAGGATCCTTTCACATCTACACACGATGTTCCGAACAGGAGGCGGCTTCAATCGTTTATGTTCGGAGAGTCTCCAAACGCAGTCGGCGCCAAGACGCAGAGTTTAACCTCTGAGATAAAGCTAACCGCGCACAAATATTAGAATGATCGGAACATTTACCTATTACATATCTTCCACTGGACTTAATCGTGGTTTCTAGCCAGTGTTTCTGTGGCATAATGCTTTTAAAGATTCTATTACTTTTGTTAGTGACACAAAATAATAATAATACTAATAATAAATGTTTGTTCCTCAAGAAGAAATGTACTTAACCTCTCAGCATCTACCAGCTCACCAGTGACCTGCTTTAGTTTAGATCTAAACAAACATAGTTTCAGAAACTCGAAGGTTTCACCTTTTAAATCTTACATGTACTTGTGCTCCTGTCTCTCCTGTGGTTTTCATTTGGGAATGCCACTTAGGTGAGAATTCAATGTAATATTATTTCTATTTTGATGGGTGTTAAGAGGTTAAAGATGGCTTAGCCTAAGCTCAAACCAGTTACTGGAAATCATGACTAGATATTTATTTTGTTAATGGCTTTATGCGAGTATGTGTGATGCTCTCTTCATCTTTGCAATTCTGCACATCTAAACAAAGGGGCTTCCTTTATTTCAGTATGGCCACTCTGCTGATAAAGCAGGAGCGCTAAAAGGGGGCTATAGTGTAGCGTAATCCCAAATCACTGGCCGTTCTTGCCAATCAAAATATATGGAAGCATGCATTGGCTTCCTTTGTAGCAGTAAGGCTGTAATTCTACAGTCTTCCTCAGGAAAATGGACGTCTGTGCATTTATTTTACAGAGCTGTAAAATTCCACCTTATGCTATTGATATGGGGGAATTTAAAAAAAAAGAAAAAGAAAAAAAAGAAAGAAAACTCAAATGGATCATATGTCACCATCTCTCAGATGATAACCACAAACACTCCCACACCAGCATAGATCACTGGGTTATTTCAGTGTGAGCCTGTTTTCAGTCTGACTAAATTAAGGGAACACGCATCATGAGGCCACAATAATCTATCAACAAACCAAATATCAGTTTAGTGGATCCTTACTTTCCAGTAAGCTACTAATGAGTGCTGCGCAGTCATGCTTCAGTGTGGTAACTTCATAAAAGAACGGCCGGTTAGTTGATTTAGAATCAAATGAGTTGACCATATTTGGAGGTGCAGTTACGCTCTGGGACAGCCTTGTAATAATGAACCTGCTCATAATTTTCTGCAAATTTGCTGACTCGGTTTTACACTGCATTAATTGTGTGGATCCAGCATGCCTCCCCGTGGAACCCGTGTGGGCCTGAACGCACCCCTGCGCGGTACGACTGCCAGGTTGCCCCACTTCCTTCGTCCTCCTCCGATGGAGAAAAGAGGGGAGGCACTCCAGTGAAATAATGAGGCTCTCTTAGACTGAAAGAGGCGGCTCTCTGGGGGAAGAATATGAGTATCTGGGTCAATGGGAGGGAAAAAAAAAAAGCTCAGTATGCGCACATACAGCAGGGTAAGTGTATGGTGTGGGTGGGACTTGGCCCGCGGCTGTGCTCGGGGGGTCAGCTTGCATGTTTACTTGCGAGAACCCGGGTCACAGTGTGGATGGGAAACGCTGATCCTACATCAGTGCCTTAGGGCTTGGAGTGTCCCAGGAGTGGGGACGACTCTGCATGTTTCACCACACTCGACCCTCATCAGACCAGGGGTTGTGCTGAACATTATATAACGAACTGCTGCATGACAATGGGCTGCGTTCCCATAGCAGGCTGTCATTTTCAGGCCTGACCTGGTGCTCACGAACACCGTTTTCAGATGGCGGCTCGCAAGAAGAAGAAAGACCTCCATATTTTGGATTCACCACATCACTTTTATTGCAAACCGAGTGACTGGCCAAATTTAAATCAGGTAAGGTTTGTGATTTTTATAGGTGGAGTCACTAAACTTTCTGATTGCATTTCATACTCCTACTTTATCGTTCCCCCTAAAAAAATTACAATTTATTTGCATTTCTTTGTTACATCAGAGGAGAAAATCTTGAAACATGGGCACACAACACCAAAACATGGCTCATTACAACTAAACTGCCAATTCAAATGTCTCCCAAAATGTCATTTAGGCATCTCAACACAACATACGTTGATTGACTGTATTACCCCAAAGACTTGGTCACAGTCAACATCACACAGTATTACTGACTGAAAACCATGCTGAAAACGACAGCAGCCACTACCCTTACATTTTAAACGGCTTAAAGCTGAAACTGCATGTCTGTGTTTGGCCAAAGCTTCTGCGCACACATCTCACAGCGTGGCCGCTGCAGCAAAAATGCATCAGGTTTGAAATGAGTGAACTGAACATTCAAATGTAGTGCATGTCCCCTAATTTGTTTCTAACTATAAGCAAATCTTTGTATCACAGACAAATAAACTCAGGGGCAGCTTTTAAACGAGAGCAATAGCCCTAATCAATGCAAATACCTGATCTGGCCTGACTAGCACCTTTTATTTTTGCATGTATATATTTATCTCTGTACATATTGTACATTTCATTTCTGGACATGGGCTATACTTTATTCCTATTTACATGTTATTTATTGTGATTACTGCTTGCCTTTCTTTCAGCACTGATGTGGGAGAGTATAGGTAAGCAAAAGAAAAAAGAAGGGGGGGATCTGAGAGGAGGGGGAGGGGATATGAGGCATTGCTTTAACATGCAAATTTGAGATGTAGCTGTGTGCTTCTGCATTTAACATGCAAATATAGCCATATTTATATAGCTGCACAGTGGTTTGCTGTGAATTTGAAACAATATTCTGCCTTTCCAGAATCACTAGTACGTAACTTTGGTGTTAAAAGCCTGTTTTGATAGAAAAGAATGGGCTTCACGTAGAGGAAGATTATGCATTTTCTGTTCAATAACACAGGGATGACTCTATCAGCATGATCATGAACAACTGGCTGTAGGTTGATGTTAATGGTGGGGGCTACAGAGGATAAATCCTGACCTCATGGCTTCCACATGACAATGGAGCCTTGCATAGATTGATAATGAAGGACCGTGTGTTGCCCCTAGACCTTGAGATAGTCCTATTACATGTGATAAATGGCCATGTTCATGAGGCCAGTGAAAGAGAATCACAGTGAAAGAGCGACGCTGATATTGCCCATGGAGCTGCCAATAGATCTGTATCTGGGTTAGGTTTGCTACAGATTTTGGCCATGTGGATCAAATTAAGCTACAATAGGGACGCAGTGGCTTTATTTCACTTAGGAGTCTAAAGCAACTTGAATTTTCAATTCATTTATATTTAGTGGTAAAAAAAAAAAAGAACAAAAAGACATTATTTAACCAGACGTGAGATTAAACAAGGAGCTGGGGTGGAGATGGGTTTCAAAGCAGCTTGCAGATGTATAGGGCAGACTAAGGCAGCTAAAATGACATACTCTAAAAGGAGGAGAAGGAGGATACCATCTCAGCTGAACTGTAAGAATTATGGCTCTACTTGGATCCAAATTCTTCTTTTATTAATTTTATCAAACTAACAGTCCCACATAAAAAAAAATACGTTAAAAAATCAAAAGAAAAAACTGCACCTGGTCTGGAGTTTTCGGTACACCTATAAAAAAAAGGATAGTTTGGGTCCTTTAAAGAGAAGGGTCACTGCAAATCAATACAAAGCTGCTCTGAGTGATCGCCTTTATCCTTTGACGAAGCATTTCTATCGTCAAGGGAGCAATCTCTTTCTTTGGGTCACTGCATGGTTTGATAAATGTGAAAATTAAGTTAACCACATGTTACAGCCTTTGCCCCACCACATCTCAATCTACCGACGCATACATATAGGATTTTGAACGAACATGTCGGACAGGGTTCTTCAGCAACATCGTGAAGACACCCAATGAGGGATTGTCTTCAGGACTAATGATGTTGTTCATTGTGTTTTAGATTCATTTTCAAATCATATAAACACTAATAATAAACACAAGGTCTAGGAAACATTTCCATCCCACTATATGGATAAACGGCTTATAAGAAGTAGTCTCCAAAGACTTCGTAAAAGTGTAAGACTGCTACTGTGAAAGCATGAAAGTAAAGTTTTGATTAAAGCTAAAATGAAGGCCGTTGGGCTTTGACAGGTGGTGGGAACAGTGGGAATGACACCTCAAACCTTCAAATTTTGATCCGTGGCCAAGTTTCACTGAGATTTCATGAAAGTTTACACTTGTTTCTTGTGCCGGCTATGTTCCAAACCCCCCTGAGTACACACCGCTGCAAACTTTCATAATTAAACCAGCACAGCATGTAAGAGAACCCTGGTGTGCAGAACCTCAAAGACCTCGTCATGTTCTTGGTGCTCGGTGATGACTGATGCACGGGCGTGACCACTGAGCCCGTCATTTCTCCATAGTTACGGTTTATTTACAAGTGAAGATTAAAATCGCTGTAGGCCTGTGTACACGCCGCTGTGAAAGCATGAACAAAGACTTCAGAAGCATCCTTGAGCCTGTATTTACTCAGGACCAGTCTTCAGAGCCAGTGAACATTTCACACATTGTGTTCTACCTTATTTTCTCCCTGCCGCCGCTGTTGTTCTCGTCTCTTTCCACCCTCAGCCATCACCTCTCCTATCACTCCATTTCTTCACCCGAGGGTCCTGTGTTCGCCAAGAGGCCCTGCTTGTGGCAAGGTCTGGCTCTGCCTTTGCTTGCTCTCCTGTACTTTTGTCTTTCTCGCCTCTTCCCTCTGTCTAGTTATTTCTATCTTTTCCCTGCCTTCATCTCTCTAACCCCGGGCTCAGGGGGGCTCAGCTGCCCGAGCAATACGAATTGATCACCCAGAACGAAGGAGAACAGGAGGAGATAAGGCGGGGCAAGACAGAAGAAAGAAACAAAGAGGGAGGACCAAAAAGAGCCGATCCTACAAAAACAAATTAAACAAAAG